TTTTGGTTCTATATAGAACCATATACAATACTTTCTCCATGAGTTCTATACAGAACCATTTCATGCTTAAATGGTTCTTTGCATAGTGAAATCCTTCTTCAGATTGATGGAGAATATGTTGGATATGGTTCTATATACCACCAAAAAGGGTTCTTCTGTTGTTACAAGCTTGACATCGTAACATATAAGAACCTTTTTGGTGCTGTAAGGACATTTCAAAAAGGTGCTATGTAGAACCATACACAACACATTCTCCATCAATCTGAAGAACCATTTCATCATGCAGAGAACCATTTAAGCATGCAATAGTTATATATCGAATTCATAAACCTAAATAGAACCATTCCTTTTACTAAAGAACCTTTGAAGAACCATTGTTGAGAGTTTAATATAACTAAGTAACTCTGAACTGAGTGAAGCTAAACTACAACAGCAGCTCATTCACAACAACACTGTACACAGTTACAGACTGTAGTCCATCTGCTTCTCCGCATACTTTGTTAGCCCCCTTTTACCCTGTTCTTCAGTGGTCAGGACCCCCATGGACCCCCACAGAGCAGGTACTATGTGGGTGGTGGATCATTCTCAGCACTGCAGTAACACTGACGTGGTGGTGGTGTGTTAGTGTGTGTTGTGCTGGTCTGAGTGGATCAGACACAGCAGTGCTGCTGGAGTTTTTAAACACCTCAGTGTCGCTGCTGGACTGAGAATAGTCCACCAACCAAAAACATCCAGCCAACAGCGTCCTGTGGGCAGCGTCCTGTGACCACTGATGAAGGACTAGAGGATGACCAACACAAACTGTGCAGCAGCAGATGAGCTATCGTCTCTGACTTTACATCTACAAGGTGGACCGACAAGGTAGGAGTGTCTCATACACTCTTAAAAAAATGGTTCTTCCAGGGTTCTTTAGCAAAGAAAATGGTTATATACAGAACCATGAAAGCTTAAAGGACCCTTTGCATCAGAAAAGCGTTCTTTGGATTGATGGAAAATGTGCATGGATGTGCTATAGACTGTTCTCTATAGAACCTTTTTGAAAAGGGTCCGTCTGCTGTTACAAGCTTGACACATAACAATGTTCAGTTCCATGGTTCCATGTAGAACCATCTACAGCACGTTCTCCATCAGTCTGAAGAAACCTTTCATGAGGCAAAGAACCCTTTAATCATGCAAGGGGTTCTTTGAGTGTTCATGCTTCTACCTAGAACCATTTTCGTCACTAAAGAAGCCTTGAAGAACCAGTGGACTGTGAATGGACACAGTGTTTAAAAACTCCAGCAGAACTGCAGTGCTGAGAATGATCCCCCACCCAAATAGTACCTGCTCTGTGGGGGTCCATGGGGGTCCTGACCACTGAAGAACAGGGTAAAAGGGGGCTAACAAAGTATCAGAGAAACAGATGGACTACAGTCTGTAACTGTAGAACTACAAAGTGAGACTATATGGTCAGTAGAGCTGATAAAGTGGACAGAGAGCGTAGAAACAAGGAGCTGGTTTGAATGTTTTGTCTGACTGGTGTATCAGACACGCAGCAGGTCTGATAGAGGTCTGTTTTACACTGTTAACGGACCAGTTTAGCTTGTTTTCAGCTCTTCAGCTCCTCATTGATCAGATACAGAGGAGTATCAGACCCGCCGCTGCGCTCCAGCCGTTTCCAGCCTTTAACATCCCTAACGCTGAAGTTTGTTTACCTGCTCTCCAGCTTCTTGTTCGAATTCTTCCGTTCCACCTTAAATGGTGCAGCAGCTACATTCCGGCGCTTCAAGCGTTTCAACAGCAACTGCTGCACGATTTAAGGTGGAACGGAAGAATTCGATCAGGAACCTGGCGATTCGCGCGTGTGCGCGGATTAATGTGAAGACCTGATCTTTGTTCTTTCTCACTCACCTCGTCCATCCTTCCTTCTGTCGACATGTTTCTCCAAAAGAGGAGGAAAAAGAAAAGAGACTGACACAGCGGCGACGCGCTCCGACAAATGGCTGCTTCAACCGGCACAATTTCAAAATAAAAGTCTCTCCACCGCTTGCTGAATTTACATTGCTTCTCTTTCTTCTTTTTTTTTCTTTCTTACTTTCTTATTTATCCATTCGTGACAACACGCAAGTCCTTTATTTGTTTATTTTATTATAAAGTCTTTTATTTCATCATTTCATAATCATAAAATTATTTAGTTTTTCACTTGGCATGTTAGCCAAGCATATGTATATATATATATATATATATATACACATACATACACACACACACAAACAAAAACATTATAATTTTTTATTATCAGTTATTTTGTTTTAGCCAAATAATAGCCGAATAGCCAAACTATTCTTTTTAATGTTATTTTAAATACAGGGCATCAAGACTAACCCTGCTTATACGATTGTTATAAAAATCCCACGTACCATTTTTGTTGCAAGGGCTCAACTGTTGCTGCTACTTGGTAACCATCTACTATTTATTAACTCTTGACTTGCCAACACATATTTCCCTGCATACATGCATATACATACATACAGCAGAATATTCAGACTGAAACTGAAAACATTTTTATTAATTAACCAGGGATTTATTTAACACTTCCACATTTTAAAGATTATATAGAACAAATATATTAAGGATCAACCACACACAGAATCAGTTGTCATCCAGCTTTTATTTAGTAATATTTTAGATGGACTTTCAATGACAACCTATAATCAACATTTATAAAGAAATGAAGAAATGCATGCATGTAAACGTGCAGAGTGCTTAGAGGCTCCATGGTTCAGGTTATCCTGCCTGCTGAGGAGATCAGTTACAATTTAAGTCACAGATAATCAGAACCTCAAATGAGCATAAAATCATGGGTGATACACAAATTTACCAGTCATAGTTTTATCATTTATGCAGCCTGTGGCCAGTAATATTACTTTGTCTCCGTTTTAGGGCTCTGAAAAGGCTAGAGTCAGTCCTGGGTTGAAGTGTTGATTTATTGATCATGCAGGATGTGAGAGATTTAGCTGAGGGGCAGGGGTCAAGCAGAGAAACTGCAGTCCAAGATCTGGAGGATCCACAGACGCAGGTCAGAAAGAATTGGAGGAGCATCGGCAGGTGGAACAACCAGGGGGTACGGAGAGGGTGAAGACCGAGTTGGTAATGGGAGGATCCAACAGGACTGGCAGCAGTGGTGCTGAAAAGTCTGCAACAGGTAGTAAGGGAGTGTAGAGAGGGTGGGATGAATGAGGGAGGAGTGGGGGTGAATGAGGCATGAGAATGAAGAGACAGAGACAGAGAGAGAGAGGAATAAAGAGAGGGAAAGAGAGAGGCAGAGACAAAGAAAGAGGGTGAATGAGGGAGGTGTAGGATAAATAAGGTTGGGGTGGGATTAAAGAGGGATTGAAATTAAAAGAGAGAGAGTGTGAGTGGGGATGAAGAGAGCTTGAGGATAAGAAAGGAGAATGTCAGAAGGTCAGAAGACACAAAACGAGGGGTCAGAAGAGTGGTCATATGAAGTGACCAATATGGGACACAACACAATGCAACTCTACACCTGTAGTGTCAGAATTATCTCTAGTCAAAACAAGGTGAGCTATTGCAACAATTACTGTCACCAAATATCAGGGAATATGTAGGCAATAAAACTAAATAAAGCATTTTCTTTCAGCAGATAACTTTCAACCAGATTAAACTCAGCAACTTAGGTTCACCACATAGACCAGATAACTGGCATGCTAAATCAGCGGGGAAACAGAGCGAATGATAGGCTGCATTTCCCACTAAATACATGTGATGAGTTGGTACAGCACAGACTCAAATTCCAGTGATGAAAATCAAGAGAAAAACAGGAGGCTAGGAAAACAGCAGCAGAGAAACAGGCAGGCAAAAGGAAACACTGTCCAGCAGAAGAGAGTCCAGGATTTCATGGTGAGAGAAAGCTGAGAACTGACATCAGCTAACACACGCTTGTGTTGACTAACATCATGCACAGTGATGGGGGACAGCAAGGCCCGTTGTAGAGAGAGAGAGAGCGAGAGAGACAGAGAGAGAATTAAACTTTCTTGCAAATGCTGTGATTGGAGGCCTTCTGTTATTTAAAAATGTTTAAAAAAATATCCCCACCCCCCAATTAAGCCACGGCCTTTTCCACCCACGAGCTAGGTTTCCCCTCCATCAGACGATGCTGCCCAGCTGGGAGGGTGTTTATCGCATCATGGCATTTTCCATCAACTCAAACCCTGAGCAACAAACCACAGCATTGCACAACAGTGTTTCAGATTTAGCAGCACTGGTCAGAGTTATTGGGGTCTCAAAGTTGCAGATTCAGGTCAGGTTTGGGTTTCAAATTCAGCAGTACCAGTCGGACCTGGTCGGCTCGGGTCGGGTCTCAAAGTTGTGAATTTAGGGTGGGTTTCAAACATAACAGTACCGGTGGGGCTTTGTCAGGTCAGGTCTTAAGGTCATGGGTACAGCTGAGGTTCAAGCTTTGATTTCATGCCCAAGCAGACCACTAATGTAGTGAGAATCCCCTCATGACGAAAAAGGCATGAAACTCTATAAGCGTGAAATGCTCCCCATTTTTGAAATGTGTTAGGATATTAGTGAGAGTAGTGACCTCAGTCCTCTTCAATAGTTGATACAGTGCCAGAAATAGCAAGAGAAGATACTCTGGTACCCCACACCAGCCAAAGTCACATTCAGCACACAATGTATGATAGGATTTTGAATGATGAGTTGATTTAACTAAGTTTTGTCTCACCTCACTATGCACATCAGCTCAAAAACCTGTTGACCCCTGGTTCAGCAGTCACGTCTCGACATCTTCTCCTAGCAACTCTTCTAGTGTGTTTTGGCCGTCTAAGCCTATAGCGAAGCAGGCTGCCAGTATGTGGCAGCATTGCAGTTATGCTGCAGGAGCACTCTTCCTTCGGGGCCAAGGTAACGACATATTATTAGCCCCTCCATCCTGTTACTGTGAATGATTGTTTCTGGGGATCTAGAGAAATCTTGTCCTTCACAATTATCGGTTGTGTTATTGATTGTCTTGAAGTCCGTTCCTCCTGGTCATTCCAGTCTAGCATGCCTGCATCCGTCACTCTGTCCTTGTTGAAACGTGCAATCTCTTCCAAGGTCAGAATATCCTCTAGGAAGTGTACGTGGTCAATGTTACTAGCACGTCTACTGCTTGTGAGATGGTAGGTGCCAATATTACAATGGCTTCTCGAGATCTCGTTGAGGAAGTACTTTGAGAGCTGGAACGCTGTGAAGACCATCTTTTCCAGTGCAACCTGCTTCCATTCAGCATCCTTTTTAGTGTGAAAGTGAAGCTTTCCGAAGAATCCCAAGTGATTTCTGACATTCTCAGGCCAAGTTTACTGAGGGCAAACCTGGAAGACCTTTTAATCTGGACCTCCAAATGGATCTGGAAATAATTGGCGAAGGCTGGACTCCATTCAATCAAGAGCTCCTCTAGTCTAACATTCCATTCTTCCTCCTTTTGGGAATGAAGGAGATTCTTGATCTCACTGGCATACACACAGACATCATTTTCTCGACTTGACATTCTGACCTTTTGCATTAAGCGCCTCCAGCAGTGGACCATGGAAGCATGTGGTAGGATTGTCTTGAAGGAATTCTCAACTGCAGTTTCAGGATCAATGCAAACCACAAACCTTTCAGAGTCAAGCTCTGGCAGAAGGCGTAGAAGTTCAGCAAAAATGGGGGGGAGAGCTCTCTCTTCGGTACTGATGTATCAGGAAAGCTAATGGAATTGCCGGACACTCCTTGAAGTCTCTATGGTGAAAGAGCACAGGCGACACGTAGAAATCCCCCAGGTCTAAAGTGGAGTTGTAGTAAAGGACATGTTGTACATTTGGGTTAGAATTCTTCACCATTGCTTGGAACTGGTCAATCATTTCAGGCAACGCAGTGACGATAACCAGGTCTGGACGCACATGTGAATCAAAGTCCTCCAGCTGATTGATTGTATTTTGAAACTTCTGTATGTGGTTTGCTTTTGACCGAATTGTCTACCATCTCATGGTACACCTGTGCAGGGGGTAAATTTTTCCTCTTTGATCTTTGGGAGTACCCCAGGTATCGGGATGTAGGCCCCCTCATCTCTTAAGTAATGTATCAAAATGTACAGTGCAACACTGTCGCACATCTCATATGACCGTTTTCTGAAGTCTCCTCCTTCACTCCAAAGAAAAAAGTAACACACTTTCAGGGTACCCTTAGAGTGAGGGACCCTCTTCATACCCGTATTTGCTCACAGGATGTGGTCAGCTGTCCAGTCTTTGTTTTCCCTGATAATTCTCATATGAGTAGACGTAAATCTCTCCAGACTTTGGATGCACGAGTGGATGCAAGCTGACTTTGCTTTGGTCGACGTTCATCAGAAGTGCGACAGCCTCGTCCACCAACAAGTGGCGCTTTCTTACAGTATACACCTGAACACCTCTCGAGTCCTTGTCTTCTGCCTCTGTGGGTAATGTCTCTTAACCGTTATGCTCTGTTTGTGGCAGCTGGCCTTTTTCACAGATGCCCACAGACCTTAAAGGAGCCTCCTGTGAAGCAGGACTTGTGTCCACCATCAGACTCCTGTGCTTCCTTACAGGCTATTGCGTCTCTCTTTCTCCAAGCATTGTAATATTGCCTTCTCCTTGCGAGTGTGTTGGGTTTTCCTGTCTCTGTGACGATTTTTCCCCACAGTCCATCTTTTCTTCTGTGACCCTCCCTCTGCAAGTGCTCTTCGTCAACGTGCCAAACCAACAGAGCTGCTCTCATTTCCTCACATATCTGTTTTGTGATGTTATATGGCATTTTTCATCAAATTATACTTATCCTGAAAAACACAAAAAAGTCAGTTATTTTAGCTGGACTGCCCCATGAGGCCAACATAAGTGTCACTGTACATGAGTCAGTCATCACCTAAGAAATGTAATGAGTTTGCATACTTTAACACTAAAATCTGTAATATCAGACAAGCCATTAATACATCTACATCCACCAAAGAGCCCATGTCCTCTCC